ACTCATCGCTTCTCGGCCTTTTGGCTAAAATCAAGTATAGGAACAAGACTCGTGGTTGTGTGCTCAGTGCCAAACTTAGCTTGTGAGTGACCTGTGAATGTTTGTGAAGGCATTAAATAAAAGGGAGATTGCTGTTAGGGCCTAGAATGCCTAAGGAGTTAAGAGTTTTTTAAGCAACTGGTAGGTTCCCTCAGATAGGTGCCCAAATGTTGAATGCTTAATTGCTGCAGGTCTCTGGTCCTGGAAAGAGACAGGATTGTTCATTCGTCAGGAGGGATTGGGTTCCTCGAAGTAAAAGAGCGGTAACTTGTTCTCAGGGGCAGTGTGCTCACTGGTGCTCAGAAAGGGTAGTTTTAGCAGCACGGGGATGGGTGCCAGCTGGCAGTGCCCCACAGGGAATGCTTAAAGCCCAAAGAAGGTGCTGCTGGCTGTGCAACTTTCTGGAGAGGAACAAAGCAGGCACAGGCTGTTTTTTATTTGTTAACATCCAGTACATTATCTAGTCATAAAACAGGTTTCAATCTACAAAACTTTTTCCAGTTTTGGCTTAGCAAAGTCTCCGAATGGGTCTAGAGCCCTTTTTGAAAATACATCCTCAGAGAAAGGGTAGCATTATTAGTACTATTTGCATAGTTCTGTCAAGGGTCTGGAAGGGAAATCCAAAGACTTGTGCCTCTGAAATGTTTCAATACACATTTAGCATACATTATGGATTATCTCTGTCATCTACATGTAAGTCAGGAGAAAAAATGAAACAAGAGATATTGGAACTGCCATTTTATATAGAGTGATCAGGGAAAAGCTTGCTACTGAGATACTGGTTTCATTTCTCTAAAGGAAGGAAGGGAGGGAATGAGGTGTCCAGTATCCAGAAGAGTTGGTGAAAACACATAAAGTGGGAGCTTGCCTGAAATGCAGACCAACATGGCTGAAGATGGATGGGGGGCATGAATAGTAGCTATCAGAGGGAAGGCAGTGGGATTCAGATCCCTTAAGGCCTCATTGGTGACCATGAAGACTTTGGCTTTTGCTCTACAAAGCCACTGAAGAATTCTTGAGCCAAGGAGAGAAAGTAGGGTTTAGCAAGACACATTGGGTCTGAGTGAAGATTAGACTGCAGGGGAGCAAGGGTAGGGGCAGGAATCTGAATTCGGAAGTGATGACAATTATCCAGGTGAAGGATTATAGGATTAGAGTGGGGGGGATGGTATTGGAAAGAATATGAAGAGGCTAGATTTTATTCTGATGATTTCAATGTGGGGTATAAGACATGGGAACCCAGCAAGGACCTTTCTGAAGCCCTAGTGGAAATGCAGTCCTGAGGGCTTTTGAGGGAGTCTGGTTCTTCAAGACGCAGGAACCTTTCTCCTTTCCCATTTTTTTCCTTCATAGTGCATATCATTTGCCCAGCCCCCCTGCCACAATAAAGTTCTCTGACAACAGCTGTCTGTTGCTACATGCCCTCCTGCCTGCACACAGCAGACCGCTTACATGAACAGATGAACAATTCCATCAAAACATATGGCCCCTTAGATATCATAACCAGAGAAAGGTGGGTTTTCCTCCCAAAGTGCAAACTGTTCCACCAACCTCAAGTATGGTATTCTGTTGGGTATACAACCACACAAGAACGAAAGCCTTTCAAATGAGTTGTTTTAATTCCAGGTGATACAGAATTTAGGGCAGAACAAAGACCAAAGAGCAGACTCTGGTGGGATTCTGGGCTGGTTTTACTTTAGTTCACAGCTAAGGTAGGAATGGCTGAGTAAAAACAGCTAAAGAGA